TAATATATAATATCATTTTAAATGTAATTGATGAATTTAGATTAAGAGATAAAGTAATGGCTATAACATTATATAATGCTAATGCCAATACAAAAGCAATTAAGTTCTTTGAAAATGATTTAAGTTTATTCGGTGACGGTACTATTTTCCACCAATGTTGTGCATGTGGCGTAATTAATTTAATTGTTAATCCGGTTTAAAAGAAATGGGTAATCACATTAAAAGAATTAGAGATAGTCTTGTATGGATTCAAGGTAGTAACCAAAGACAAGAAGATTGGTTTAGATTCTTATAAGCATTAAATATACCTCCTAGAGCATTAGCGTTAGATATGCCTATAAGATGGAACTCAACTTATATAATGCTTCAATAATGCATCCCCTATAAGGATGCTATAACAAACTATATGTGTGCAAAAGTAGGAGTAGGACATATAGACGCATATGATTGGTAAATTGCTGAAGTTTTGCATCAATTTTTAGGTAGGTTTCATGAAATTACTCTAAAATTTAGTGGAACATATTACCCAACATCACCTTTAGCTTTAGGTGAACTTTTACAAATTAGTATTTTATTTAGCGACTATAGGGAGGACCCAATCTTAGGAGTTCCTGTCCATTCTATGGAAAAGAAATTTATTAGTCTAAGTTGCCTTTGTTGTATGGTTTAGGTACTATTTTTAATCCTATATTAAAATTAGACGGTTTAGAAAGTGGTTTAGAAAACTTAGGTGAATTTTTAGGCATTAATTGTTCGGACCAATTTTCAATAATAAAGGAAAAAATATATTCGATCTATAGTAAATATAAGATTAGGTTTAGAAGCACAAACTCTAGAGTACAGGAACCGCAACAACAAGACGAAAACCCGCATTCATTCTTGAATGTTTTCGGGTTAAAGAAGAAGAAGAAGACAACTCAAACAGAAGTTGGGAGTGGATCTTCGTCAACAAGTGGCAGTGGCAGCGGCGGCGGCAGCTTCAATGAGCTTATGGCGTACCTCAGTGCAGGCTTAGTAGTCAACGATACTAGATAATCGTTTGACTTAGTTCAATGGTGGAGGATACGGGCATTAACTTTGCCAATCCTAACTCGATTGGCAATGGATATATTTTCGATCCCAATCTCCACTATTTCATCCGAACAAGCCTTCAATACGATAGGAAAAATACTTGAGGAACGCCGGAATGCAATGTAAAGGGACATTGTTGAAGCCTTGGTCTGTATTAAGGATTGGGATCGAGCCGATCAATGTCTGCATTAAGGATTAATCGATTAACATTTAATTTTGAAGACGATCCTTCAGCTTCAAATTAAATTGTAAATTTGTAATTTGTAAATATGTATTTACTTTTGACATTGTAATTGTATAACTTTGTAAGTTTGTAAAATTTATAATTCGTCACAAAATGATTGCACTCTTTTTTCCTTGTCAAGTTTTTATCCCAATTGAGTTTTTCTTGGTAAAGTTTTTAACGAAGCAATCATGAATTACGAATTTAAAAATTAATATACATGATTAATTTTTTAAATTGTGTTAATAATGTCTGTTGAATGTTAATTTTGGTTTTTATATAATTTTAACACAAAATAACTTAATAATTATAAAAATTTAAAAATAAAAAAAATTCAGGCTATTCGGGCGGGCTCAGGTAGCCAAATATAAGCCCGCGGCCCGTTCAATGGCATTTTTGGGCTCGGGCGGGCGGCCCAAATTTTTTGGGCTAGTCGGGTTGGGCTTTGGGCAAAAAATTGATATTTTCGAGCGGTCGCAGGCGGCCCGTCCAAAGTTCCAGCACTACTCGCGACGGTATTAGATCTAACCTGCAAAAAGAGGATGTATAGCTCCCCCCAAGAAGAAACTTGAATCATTTTGGGTTAAAAGAGCAGTAGTACTATATCTACTACTATCCATTTTTAACTAACTAATATAAATTTTACATGCCAAAATAAGAAAAGGAAATCAGTGGTATCCAGTGGACTATGGAGCATAGTGACACGGGCCGGGCTAAACCTCGGCACTCACACCATGGAGAGGCTTAGTAATAACCCGTTGGCGCCCCTTATTACTAAGGCAAGCCACCTCACAAGCTCCAGTCCCCGATCAGTTTGTGTAGGGGAGGCCTAACCCCTTCTTGTATAGCTTCCCCCTGTACTTTTTGAAAAACTCATGCACTCACCATTGGAGTCGCCCTCCAGCCAACTATGCTGCGCCTCCGCATGTTCCGTCCCGTTGAGGCTCAGCGCCAAGATAAGGACGTGACAATAGACCATGATCAGATTTTTTTTTTTGTTTATTTTTTTTTTGTTTTTTTTATTTTTTAAATAAAAAAATTAATGGTATTTTTACGCCCCTGGTCCAAAGATCACCTTTACAAATTTGTCGGAAAAGAAATTTGGCCCATGCTTTGGTCATCTAGTATGTAGTAGCACTAATTGAACAGTTCCAGTAAGATCGTCACGTGACGTTTGGATATTTGTTAATTATAGACAAGTCTCGTTCATTTCATTCATTCGAGTTTAAAATTTAAATTTTATATAATAAAAAGTTCTTAAAAATAGTCACATTTAATTTTTTTACTATACTAAAAATCTCTCATATAAAATCACAAATTAACTCAAATTAAAAACTTAAATTAAGCGAATAAAGCAGAAAAAATACTCTCAGTATATTAGCTTACTCACAGGCGTAGAAGAAACAAACCAACATAACGAACCGTGCACTGCCGGGTATACCTCTCAACAACGCTGGCGTGACTGCGGATAACAGACTAAAGGCAACTACCTCAGTAAATCTCACAAACAAACAAAAATGGCGTCGGTGTCGGTGACGCCACCAGTTTCATGCCACTACCGCCATAACCAACCTCCTCCA